AATTCTCTAAAAGGAAAATTATTGTGCAAATAAAACAACCCCCCGCTTTAGTGTTCCCAGTCTCAGAATGATACATTTATAAGCCTATAGCAGGCTAAAAATTGGCAGCTCGAGAGGATCACGTGTGTCTGAAGAGAGAGAATGAAGAGCCAAGCAGCACGTTATTAGAGTCTGAAAGAGATCCTCCCTTTSAATGAAACGCTGTTGTTGTAGGCGTGGGAGCTGGAGAGGATGGGACAGCAGGCTCGTATTCCTTCAGGGAGCACAGGCATTTGAATGAAATCATGAATGATACTCCAAACCAGAATCATATTTCAAACAAACATCTAACTGACAAGTGTTATTTCAACATGTCTAGTTTCGTGTCTGTTGAAAGGGCTGTTAGGAAATCTCTCTGAAAATGCTGGATTTTTTTTTTATTCCAGCAATGGTTGCCATCAGTGTGAGCTGCAGCAACTGGGAAGGAGGCTTCAAGTGTGATATTTATCTTAGCATTTTGTTGACACTGTGATTTGGAAAAATATGTTCCAATAATTACAGTGACTAGAGACCAGGGATGTGTTAATTAAATGTTGTGAGGAGTGACCAAAAGCCTTACTGTGCCATCAARGCGCACTGTAACAAGTTTTTTAGGTTAAACAACATGTCCTAGACACAAGAGCCCACCCGGTGTGAAACCCAACCTTGCCTCTCACAAGCAGCTGTGGTGTTGAAGGTAATCTGAGCCAGTTCCAGMAGCAGAGGCTCAGCCTYTCCTGCGGAGCTGTTTATCCTCGGGTGGTGCAGGGCTGGCTGGCAGCAGCAGCAGGAGCACAGGTCACCCGAGCTGTCTCGCCCTGCAGGGCAGCCCCAGCCTGCCCCAAAGAGGAGCCTGCTGCTGGAAGGACTGCAGGATCGGATCRAACACTCCCGAACTGGAGCTTTAAYGAGCAGSTGCTGCCCACTGCCCACACCATCCTGGGAAGGTGGGAAAGCATCCCCAGGGCCAGCTCAGGTGCAGTCCCCTTGGGCACCCCAGTGCCTTGGAAATGCTCCCAGGCCAAGCAGGTGTCCCAGAGAACTGTCTAGGCTGGATAAAACTTAGCAAATAAATTTGAAAATAACCTCAGAATGGTTGTGAGATAGGTTCAGTTCTTYTGTGGTTTCTGCCTTTCAGCAAAGCCCTGGAACAAACCGGAGCTGCAGAATCCAACATAAACTAACAGGTGATCTCTACGGTGGGGATGGAGGCAAGTTTGGGCTGCTTTGCTCCAGAAGAGTCACAACAACCACTGCAAGCACAGACAGGGGACCKGCCCATTCTCAGGCACAGCACCAGAACTGGGGCTGTATCTGTGGCCCCTTCTGCAAACTCATTGCTYGGAGTAAAACAAACTCCTGCTTATCAAGAAACTTTGGGTATTTTTTTTTTCCTCCACAAGATGTTTAATAATTCTCCCGGAAAGTTACCGAGACATTTGTGGAGAAGCTGGTGACTCAAAGAGTGTGTGCTGCAGGGGCCCCAACAAGCAGGACCTGCAGCTGAGCCCGCCTGGGTGCAGTTTCATCAGAATCACACATTTGCAATCCCAYGTGTCAGTACTGCTCACTACATGCAAAGGTGATGAAAACTCTGCAAGCAAAAKCAAGAAAACTCCAGGAGAGGTGAGGGGGTTATTAGGAGCCATATATGTTTACTGGGCTGGTTAATAACCCCCAGCTTTGATGTGAGAGTTTGCTTTTAAAAATGTGTTTTGGTCCAAGTTTAAATTACTCCAATGGTTGCCAGATGAATTAATAATRGAGAGGGTGATCCGGAGGTGCAGACTTGAAACAAGGTACCAGAGGGTAACAAAAAGGGTAATTTTCATCTCATATATATTATCAAGGGTTACAGATCACTGGATATTTGTAACAGCCATGGTTAGACTTCTTCCAGYAGATGTGCTAGAGGCAGCTAAATSAGAAATACACGTGCCTCTGCATCACCCAGTCCAAACACTGACCCAGCACTGCCATGCCACTGCTAAACCATGTCCCCAAATGCCACATCCATATGATACCAAACCACATGGGGTGAGCATCCCGTGTCAYTGTCCTGGGCTACAGACAAGAGGGGACCCTCACCCCCCAAACAGATCCTACAGGGGAAATCACGGCTGAGGCAGTGCCTGTAGAGCCCTGCGGGGGAAAGGAGCAGCTATTTTCGTGTCAAGATTAATCTTGGGTTTGTTAGCTGATACAGAGGAAAYGGACAGGGAGCTGAAGCGCAGCCACAGCCAGTGAACTGTCACCAATCAGGCTAAAACAAATACCACATTAATGTCTGAGGCTGGAACATGCTGTGGAGTGTTTTGTAACCGTATCTGTGAGCTCAGGGAGCCTCCTGCACACTGCAATGCTTGCCGAAAGCTCCTCTCTTGGTCTGGCAGCAGAGCTGTTTGCATTGGCATCTCTGCCCCTCTTCACGGTCCCAGTGTGAGGGAGAAAAGCAGCTGAAAATGGAGAACTTGAAATCACAYCCCTCTTACGAGATCCTCAGGGGTCCCATTCTCACCCTCCGGAGCAAAGAGCAGCAGTATTTGGTGTGAAAGATGCTTATAACATCTATAACACATTCCTGGTGGGAGCTGGAACACATTTTTTTACAACTGCCCTATAGGAGGATTCAATATCTGTTTGTCTGTGGGTTTTTTTTCACTGTCCTTCTCCACACCATCTGTTTTCCTGTGGTAGCAGAATCAAAYGCTAATCCTCAAAGGATATGAAAACTGCAGGAGCAAATTGTTTTCCCATCTCRTGCAGGTCTCAGTTTGAGCTGACAAACACCCCAAAAATACCAGAAACAGCTGGGGMTTTACCCAGAAGTAAATGGTTAATTTGGAAAAGCTGAGAGAGTTACAGGCCCCAGCTGTCAGCAATCCACCTCAGGCCAACGATGGCTACAGAGGCTGGAAAGGATCGGTTCATCCCTTTTATGAGCAAAATGTCTCAGGCTCTTGGAATTCCTCACCTTTCCTGGCCCATCAGCTCAGCCTGGAGCTGGCCCTGCCTGTGGGTCACCCCCAGCAGTGAAGGGCAGTGGTGGAAAGCAGACTGCTTTCCAGAGGATGCTGAATGGCAGCTGTCTTTAAACAGGCTGCCGTTAAATACCCCAGAAATGGCTAAAAAAGAGGTCAGTTCATCACATGCTGCACACCTGCAATTCTCCTGGTGTCAGCATACAAAGTGGGTGGGGGGTTTTGTGTTGGTCTGGGCTGTACCTTTTCCCCCTTAAACCCTTGTGTGCCCTGCTCCAGGTGTTTGTGCACAGCAGCAGCTCAGCAATGTGCAGTTCCTGCACGGTGAATCCTTCAAGAGACTCTGCTTAACCAGGGCACAAAGGAGCAACAGCAGCACATGGGCTGGAAAGCAGGGAGGGAGGGATACACAGCAGGGCTCAGAGCTCAGCATCCCCCACACCCTGTGAACAGCAGGACCCTAAAAAGCAGTGCCTTCCCCTCAAACTATGTCTGTAAGCYCTGGTACACCCTACAAGGCAATTTTCCCTGGGCAGTTTTATTGTCTGCTCTGAAATGACATCAGTAACTCTCCATGGACAGCAAACCAGACCAAAGCCTGGGATGTAAATGAACAGATGATGTTAGAGGCAGCTCAGCAATTYTTACATATCTGGACACTTGTGGGTTATGAAAGACTCAACCTTTGATCCATTTAACACAGCCCCTCCAGGGAAGTGAGGAGCACAGGCATTAATCAGGGATTGCATGAGGCTCTGTGAGCTGACAGGCACCCATAAACCTGTAGATGTTGGCTGGCATCTTTTAGCCTGGCAAAAGCACTACAGGGCCAACCCTGGCACCTCSTGACACCTCCATGCTGCAGCCCAAACTGGCAGAAAGTGGATTTACCTACTGAACACCTGGTGATGGACAGGCCTTTAGAGCACTTCGGGATCTAAGGGCAAATGTATTATTAAATTAGAGGTTTGAATTTCTGAGTCCARCAAAAACTCAAATACAGCTGGCTTGAATAGTCTTGCAGAAAGAGGAAGTCACTTGTTTCATACAAACTTCTCTAAAAAACAATCAGATTACCAGCTAAAGTAGAAGCAAATGAAGCTCTCATGCAGTTTACCCTATCCCCTCAGCCTGCACGGAAGCTGCACCAGGAGCAAGGGACCCCAGCTGAAATGTAAACCAGCTTCCACAAAAGGCTACTGCAACTCTCTCCATGAGCTATTCCTGTATTAAAAAAGCATACTGAACAAATCAGAACTCACGAAACTTGTAAAGAACAAGAACGTATTCTCAGCAGCTCACTTCCCTAAAAAATACTACTGTGGTGCAGAGYTCAACGGAGATACAACACAGAAGGGAATTTTCGTTTCTGGACGTTTAAAGCAAAGCTTTGTGGTTTGGATGGCTGCAATATTTGCACAGAACCCCTGTCTCTGACACAGCAAGCTTGACCCAAGGCGCAATGCCGACAGGCTGCTGTGGCACTTGCTTCATTCCTCACAACTTCTTGCCCAGTGGGCATCCAGTTAGGACAACTTCAGAACAGCAAAATCTGCCATTTCAAAACATGAGCAAAGGGCAATTTCAACAGGAGTAATTAGTTTATGTGTATGATGGGCACTTTGCACATGAAATATTATATCAAATGGTAAAATATCACACTGATAACTACCCACCCATAGGCAGGAAGCAGCAGGTGCTTCCAAGTGGATTTGGAAGGGGAAAGCTTACAGTGCCTTTAGAGCACATTTCACTCCTCAACACTGCAAAACAGTGTCTAGGGCATCTAGTGTTTCTGAAAACAGGACCTGAATCTCAGAGCTGTGAAATAGCAGCTTATTAGAGGAAGAAAGAAGCATGAAACCACACCAGTCACRTTGTCTTAATAAAAAATATTCTGCAACAACCCCCAGTATCAAATGTTACAGAAATTTACAATGCCAAGGAAAAGGAACACACCCAGAAATCCCTACCACAAACCCCACAAATGCAGGCCAACAATGAACAATCTCAATTATTTATTAGGAAAAGACAAAGTACTGTTTCAACATTCGTACAGAACCAATGGTAATAAAATCAGGAAAATAAACTGTAAAAAGTAGGCCCATGACAGAGGAGTTGGTTTATGACAAAGCAAATGAAATCCAAACTTCATGCAAACAAGCAGTAAAGAATTATTTACAGTTTTRATGGGATGAGTTACAGCATTGTCCATATTTGGGCCCAAATCAAATTACTCAGTGACATATTAAAGGGATCTAATCTGTACATTCAATAATGAGAATCTATAAAAAGAAAAATAATTTAAACAATTTACAAGAGCTGTATTACAGATGGCATAAAGGCATCATTTACAAGAGCTGTTTAACAGGTGACACAAAGGTACTCATGAGTAATTTATGAATAAAAATTTGTAGCACATATTTTYACATCACATCTTCAGTGTCTGAACAGTAAACAAGAAAGCAGAGACATACCRTGAGTGCAATGTAATAGAATAAGGCAACTTAACCAAATGGCTCTKCAGGGAACTTCCATCCTACTAGGGTTTACAAGTCACACACCTGCCTGTCTGCTTTGTTAACCAAAACAAATATTTGAAGACAGTAACTGGTGATTACAAGGCCTGCATATGACAAGACGGTAAATGGAAAATTAAATGCTTGTTTGTAAAAATGACAAAACTCAAGAATGTAAAAGTGCAGGGTATCAAAATCCCTCTATACCCTAACACAAACACATTAATTTTCATGGTCTAGGTGTTGTAATTTAATAAGTCTCAAAATACTAATTCACTAGGCTTATAAACTCCTTTGTAATGCACAATCTGAAACTAATATATCTCCTCCCAAAGCTTGTATTTACAATTTCTCAAACTGATGCCAGAAATGTGAATTGTGAAATGCCAGCAATTTATAGCAAAGATTAGCAACTGACACACTATATTCCAGTTCATTTTTTAGGCAACACTAATAAGCATATTTAGATTTTGAAGTTACTTTAAATGGKTATTTCTGAATTTTCAACAGCTTCCCCAAACGCTTTGAGTAGGAGCTGACTTGCTTGAACTTTTAGCAGAGAACAAATGCCAGTTGTGTTCTACTTCACACTATTTGTGCAAACAGCTACAGTAACAAAACATGAAGGATAACATGGAAATCCAGCTATGAAAACTCATCTGTCTCCCATGGTACCATGGGAACGTTATGGGCCTTACAGAAAGCAGCACAGGAAGCCACACCTGCCAATGACTTGCCACTTAACAAACACAGTCAACACACTCAAAAAAACCAAACCCAAAAGGGAAACTCAAAATAAGGCCAAAAACTATTGGCAAATGATAAAATTTAAGTCTGTCAAAAGGACTAGGCCATAAATATTTTATTTACAATTTCTATTTAGAATCTTTTTTTTCAACAAATGATTTAGCACCAGCAGGAATATGCAAAGTAGCACTACTGTGTTCCCCAGGCAGAAGACCTTGAGGCCAGATCTTGCTCATTAGTTTAAAAGAATGATCTACTCAAGTAACTACAGAGTGAGCAGGATTTGACACTCAGTTATGCAAACTGAGACTGCTCAAACATATTCCATTAGCACATTAATAATTACAAATATATTACAGTATCTTTTGAGATGTTTTCAGGAATATTTAATATGCCTTCCATGTTTGAAGTAAATGAAACTAATAAAACAGGCTTATTTGCAGGCTAACCTTGGAGAATTACTAATTTTACCACAGATGACAAAACACTTTGGAATATATCAGTAAAAGGCTGTATGCAGGAATTACCCTTCTACACTGTGAAGAAGGATTTTRTTAATCTCCCATAGTTATGTCTGAGGACCAAATTCTCCCATTTTATCCACACTGATTGTGAAGCCTACCCCCTCTGACTGTGCATTAATGGAAATTCATACACCCAAGCAGGAACTGTGCCAGGTGTGTCCTGAGCTCTGCGCTGGGACCTACAGGGCTGGCTCCAACGCTTCCAACCTGACCCACAGCTTTTTGTTCACTCTTGAACCTCAGCAAAGCTCTGGTACATATTACATGGTTTCTAAGCCTACATGATCATAAAAAGAATGAAAAAAGATGGAAGATAAATCAAGGACAAGTGACAAGGGAAAGAATTAGTCTTTCCCTTAGAACTGACCAGAAGAAGCTCAACAGAACCACACTGACCCTTCACCGCTGTTCTGAACTCAGCTGCTTCCTCAGGATTACAGTGATATCCAGACTGTGAACAGTGTAAGTGATATTTAAAAACAGGTTGACTGCAAATTTATTCATTAATGAAAATTAAAGACTGAATGTGAAAGACACCACCCATCTAGTCTTTATTTAGCACAGATCTATCTAGATAAAAGATCCTTTAATTAGTTCCAAATGTTAAAGCCCCAATGTGATTTTGAAATACTTAGAAATGAGAAGTAATTTCAACTGATCTGGAAGCAGGTGTTTCCTGAAGACCTATACTGGGTAGAGAYAGAGTATTACAGCCCTTAAAGGCACCTTGCACCATACTACCAAGTCAAGTGCAAGTAGGAACGTCACAGTACCACTGCAGGAGCAGATGATCCAGCAAGAGAAGCCAGAGTGTTTGAAGATACAGCTGACAGTAAGTGGGACAATGTGGTGACTCTTCTTTCCACCCTGTAACTCTCAATTCTGAGCACCTGTTGGCAGAATCAAACAGGTGCTTGAGAGAGGGAAAGATCTTCAAACACCTGAACCCACTTTAGAAATACTGAGCAAACTACAAGAAAGGGTGTATCAGTGCAGCCTCTCTCTGAACTCCTAAATGCATCCAGGCTTTCAGTAAAAGAATGTAAGATTGTTTGTATTTAAACCTCTGCCAGGTTCAGTAAAGAACACTGAGGATGTGTTAATTCCAGCCCGTTAAATATTTAAGMTATATTGTAGGAGCTCCCTTCTCATCCAAACTGCAATTACCCACATACACTTAAAAAGGTCAAAGTGGTTAGGTTTAACAGCTTRGAATAACTTCACCTACAACTGAACTTCTCTATCCACAAATAAACTGCACTTATCTCACTATAAACTTACATGATTTTTGGGGAGATACTGAAACAATAAAACTGCATAATATTTGAAAAGACCAAGCTGGAGGGGTAAGACCAAGAAAAGCAAAAGCATGACACCAAGATTAAGGGCTGTAGGGATGGGAAACCAGAAATGTTTTTCTGGTATCTCTTGCTACACTGGATTAAAGGGATCATCTCCATGGTCAATAAAATTACCTGCTATTTCTCTGGTAAGTAATACTGGTTAGGAAACCTCATGGATAAAGTCCCAGTACCATAAAACTGGCATTATATGAAAAAATCAAAAGGCACTCACATGGCTGACTGAGCTGAAAATGATTACACATTCAAAATGGGTATTACATTTTACTTAGAAGTATCAYAGAACTTTCCTCTCTAGAGAAGTGGTTCCATTTGAGAAGACAACAGTAGTCCCGAGAAAACCCCAAATTTTCCCTGCTRTGGTACACCACATTGAATCAATTCACCCTAAAACTGCTTCAACCAGTTAGTTCTGAGGAACAGGAATGGCAAGGGTGAAAGTCAAAATAGACAATCAGGAAAAAGCAACTTACTTCAGTGATTCACATGAAAGAAACAAGCCTTTTCAACCTATTTAGAAGGGAATTTAGAAGAAAAGATTTTTAAGGCTTATCTTGCAACTATTTGTGATGCCTATCATTTCTYCTGAAGACAGAGAATCTTTGGAGACTCTAATAACAAGGTCTAAGCTGACAGAAAATGAGATGAAAACCCAAGATGTGGCTTAAATACAGGACCCTGGGCTTTACAGTAGGGCTTGACAACTGTGGTTGCTCTTGTAATGAAGTAACAATTGTGCTGATAAAATTAGCAGTAGGAAGCCAATTTTTAGAAGCTCAAGGGAAGTAAAACAGAGGTAGGGCATACTTTTTGATTCTCACAGTAGTTTCTCTACAGTACAGCTATTCAAGAATTACTCCATTTGCTTATTTTGTAACTCTGTACAATTTACTTAAAAAAATGTTAGGTCACATCAACTTCAGKTGGTTTAATGAACTATGGATATTAGGTAATCATCTATATGTGCTTTTGGTTAAATATACAAGTAGCTTCTAACTACTGCTTCGAGAGGACTCTCAGTATCACAAATGAGAAGTGAAGTAGCAATAAACATGGTCTAAAGGAATTGTTGCTAATGGAGCTGTAGTATGTGTCCTAAAGCACCCCTTGCAAGTAAAATATGCAGTTAGTTTGCAATTTTCAGCAGGCTGCCAGAACATTCAGAAAAATAAGTTTTTACAGAGTTTTGTAACCAAATAAGGGTTACTTCTGATAGTCAATCATAACTCAAAATGTGTTTACAGCATTTATAAAGATATTCTATAAAAACCGTATTCACTCATTTTCTGAAGTGCTCTGATTTAGCAGTAGATCAGCTGAACTGTGAGTTAATTTTTAGCTGTTTATGTCTATAGTGAAACATCAAAGCAAGCACAATGGAAATGTAGTACAAGTACCAGGAAAAGCTCAATAAATGGAACTGCATTTTTGATTAGCATTGCACTTAATGAGTTGCCTACTCTAAGGTACTGTACTCTTAAAGGACCACAGAAAGTTTTAAAAGCAAAATTTTAGGATATTAGTTTGGGGCTTTGAATTCTGAGAACGAGAAGACTGAAAATAGCACAAGGGTTTCTAACACATGGGGATGTATCTGGAGATACAACACAGCCATGCTGTGGAATACTTGAACAATCAGTTTTAAAAATAAACCCAAGATACGAATGTGGCTGAGTCTGGTTGCTCCTCATGCACTTACAGGAAATAAATTTAATATGAAAATATAGTAAAATTGGGTAGCTCTTTAATGCACAAGAAGTCATATAGCTAATGACTGGATAAYAGTCCTGTAAGTTTAAGATCTCATGCCCTGGCTTCAGGACTAAACTTATTACAGTAATTGCAACTGTAATAATAAATTTTAAAAGTCTACAGAAAACCCCAAAAGTGAGTTCCAGAGTACAGATTTTATCCCAAGGCCACAATTTGATGAATGGTTCCATATTGCAAGTGCATTAAATACTGGTCCATTTGCTGCTCCAATATGAATTCTGATGCTGTCCTCAACTTCCAAACACAAACTTCCAAATCCAAAAGTAAGCTAACAACCTTTCAACTTCAACATCTACTTGAATTCTGATCAATTCCTACAAAATTAAGGAGAAATCACAATTTCAAATTAGTAGGATGGGGCAAAAACTTTCCAAACCTCCACAGAAATAAGCCAAAGCACCAGAATTATGAGGTCCCGTAATAAGTCTATTTTACAAGGATTTCTTCAGTTCTCTCAGGCTTCATGGTACCTTTACAAATGATGATTCATGATGGCAGAATTTATGAGGGAAAAAAAAAAAATACAGAAATCCAGCAGGTATTTTGGAAGTCATGTCCTCAAAGAAAAAAAAAGAAGAAAATAAAGAAAAAATCTTGCCCCCAAATGCTGCCTTCATTAATCACTAAACTCTTTTTGAAATGCAATCAAAGACAGAAGGATCTTCCCAAAATACCAGCTAAATCTTCAAATAAATTAAAGTATCTTCATGAAATCTTCAAAATATCAACTGCCTTATCTGCTGCTTTGGCTGATTCTTTGTGTTTCTATTCTTCCCACTGGAAATTAAAGCATTAACATTATTTCCATTACACAAAAAATAAAATAATTACTATGTTTACTGTGGGAGGCAATCATCTACAGTTTCCTCATCTTCTAGATAGTACCTTGCTGTCTTTTAAGTTGTTTTCTGTAAGTACACATTAAATTTGTGCTCATAATAACAGTATCATAACAATGAAAATATTTTTTCAGTCATCAATTATATACAAAACTGATGGGCCTGAAGACTCKGGAATAAATTTGCAATATTTTAATCCTGAGCACATAAGGGTTTGGCATTCTTTTTTTTGGAATTTCTGGAAAGTTGTTTTCAGAGGATGTATTGCATATTAGAAGTTCACTACTGGCTACATGTACCAAAGAATATAAATTACAGCCACAAACAGTTCACTTGCCAATGCCCAACAGAGTGAAACACCCTTCCTTACAACAGCAATAGTCAGTAGCTTAATCACTTCTTAAAAACAGTTACAGAAAATCAGCTATTTTCTTCTCCCCTCCCCAGATTTAATTCCCATCGACATAAACAAGTGTCATTCAGGTGGAAAATAGTTCAGTGTAGTGACATCTGGTATTTCAACTGAAATTTGGCAGCCCAAGCAGAGCACCAACAGCTCCAAAGTATCCCTGTTAAAAAAAAAATCAAGTTTAAGTAACGTATTAAATTATGCATTAATCACATTTTCGTACAACAATCATGTGATGGACCAATGCTACAGAAAGAATGCTATACAGTTTTAATACATAATATTTCATAGTAATTGTTTAAGGCTTCGTGAAAGAAACATTTTATCCCTCTTATCCAGCTTAACTTTAGGAGGTTTCATGCCAAGCCTCACCACACACTTCTAAGACAGGAATCAGCGGCTCCTAAAGCCTAGGAATCAGGTTTGATTTTTTCTTGCTAGAGAAGCTGCATATTTTGCTTGCTAGAAGATCTTCAATATCCATAAACAACATGATTCCTAATGBAGAAGTGAAAAATTTCTTGAACTATGTGCACACCACATTTCTGTACTGTCTACCTACCTGCATACAAAGAACCACGTTCTCCTGTTGAACTACTTTTCCCATGTGCAGTGAAATGTTCCCCCTCCCTATAACTAAAAAATATTCAAGTGTTTCRAATATACACTTGAACAAAGGCAAGGGTTTAAAATCTACCCAAGAAGAAGAGGATAGAACTAACAAGGAACCCTTCTGCTATTACTGTGGGTATCAGGACAGACTGTCAGTCTTGGGATCAGCAATAAAGGAAAAACATTGTGAGAATCAACTGAAGATGTAATGCTGTAATAGCTGCAGACCAAGAAACTGAGGACAACAATTTCCAACCCACTGCCAAGAAGCTACAAGTCTGTAGTTGTTCCATCTGTAATTAATACTGGTTGTCTGTAATTTTAACCAAAACAGATCAAAGCCCTCAACATTGCATACTGATGTAGATGGCAGAAGCTGCCCAAAAGCAGGTTATTCTCAAAGCATAAAATCACTACAGCAACTCTGAGGAGTCTGTGATGGAATGAAAACAGGCCTTGTCATAGCAGTCTTGACTTTCAAGATATTGCTCAAGCTCAGCTGAGAACAATGGAAGTRTTTCAAAGGCCCAAGCTTTACATTTCTGCACTCTTTGAAACACAATACTTGCTGTTGTTTCCACCCAAACCCAAGAAAGACTGGTGACCCTTAGCACAGAGTTTAACATTTTCTTGTCCCTCTCCAGAGATCCACAGCATGAACTGAGATACCCCGAAGTGACTGAAGTACTTCCCTGGCAGAGAACTGTTCCCAGAGAACCAATTCAGCAAGACAAACCTCCTCTTATTTCTAATATTTACTGAGCACTTGATGCCTCAGGATATCACACATGAGAGCTACTCAATGCAGGCATTTCTGATTTATGGTGAAATAACACAGAGATAAATGAGCCACAGCATACCTCATGTTCTAGGAACAAGGCCTTCAGCTGGCCTTTTGACCAGTAATCCAGTGCATATGCGAGAAGCTTCATTGACAAAGTATTCACACGCAAGAAATTGCCAACAAACACAACTCTGTTTATTTTCTAAAAAAACAAAAAAGGAAAAAAAAAGAAAAGCAGTAAAGGATTAAGTCTTTTCAGTGTTTAACACAGCTTTGAAAATTTAGGCTATGAAAGAGAAGACTGTCTTGAGCAAGGAAAAAAACCCACAAAAACCAAACAACCCACAATTAAAATGTGGTTTCAAATTTAAAACATGGCATACTTGGGGAAAAGGAAAAACGGTGCAACCCTCAAGAATTAAAGGACTTAATTTACAGACAAGAAGCATTTGTGTTTTAAATTAAGGGAGATTTTCAGCAATTACACCAAAGAAAGAGCCCAGCTAAAAGCAAAATTAAATGAAAGATACTTCTGTTTGGTAGAGAAGACTCAATGCCTTCATAGCCCTGTACAATGCTGCTTGATCCATATGCAACAAGGCAGCACTGTAAAGAAGCCGAAGACAGTAAGACATGACAGATGATCCTTTCGTCTTCAGACCTCAATATACCTCAGCTTAACATCAGATTAACATCAAGTGAACTGTGAGTTTTAATCAAGTTAAATGTAAAAGTGAAAATCATTTAATATTCACCGTKAACTGAAGTAAATCCAACAATAAGTGAAAACATTAAACACTGGTTAAATGACATGAAAGAACCAAAGAAAATGTAATTGGGTTAGTCCTTAGCACAGTCTAAGCACTTAATCACATTAAATCAATGATCATATCCAAGTTATTACAAAAACTAATAAGACAATTCAACATGCAGTCAAATGTCTATGCAGCTGTTTTTTAACCAGCTTGATTAGTTCCCAGTGAACACAAAGTAGATGCATCGCTAAGGCACAAGCCCATAATTCTGCTCTACTACAGGAAGTCAAAATAATTACATTGATTTTATCTTTATACATCAGTTCAAGGTACTAGTTAGTGTATCCCTATTAATGATTTCTTATGATTTGCAGTTCTATGACATACCTGGAATTAGACCAAAAAACATTTGGAATAAAGCTAGCTTGTGCAGTTTACAAGTGCTGATTTGTCCTCGTTTACTCCCACCCTTAAATATAAATTGCATAAATTTGCCTAAGACATTTAGTATATACTTTGAACTTCACCTTCATTTTAACTCTTTTGTTATTAAGCTTTGCCATAAAGCAAAAACCAAAATTAAGTTAATATTCACAAAATTAACTTTCTTCTCTGAGACAGACATGAGAGAAAGACATAGAATGGAACTGAGGGAGAGAACCTGCAATATTAAAACYAGAAAATACAATTAATCTGGCTCCTAAGCAAAAGGAGGGTTCCTGCAGCTAACAGGGTWGTTGGCACTTCTGAGACAATCACATCCAGAGATTTTAAGCAGAGCTCTAAATACAGTTACTCAGTCTTCTGTTACTAAACCTCATGTTATCCCAAGTTTGCTGACGAAGAAATCACTGCTGCTCAGACACTCATGTCTCCTATGCCTAAATTCAGTATTCTTCCACAGCTTCTTGACTGTCCACACTAATACCAAAACTGAACACATACTTGTTCTTTTTTARACTTTGAGAAATAGAAGATGGCATGAAACCCTCTTTATCAACCAGTAAGATGAGAGGTGTCAAAACAATTTTTAACTCTCAAGAATTAGAACAAATTAAAAATAACGCTTCACTAGAATAATTTCAGCTTGGAGAAACTGCTGGAGGCCATCAAGTCTTACGTACTTCTCAAAGCAATTAAAATGCTGCAGTTGCTCAAGTCACRTATTTTGAAACTTCYGAGGACAGAGTCCGTAGTTTCTCTCTGAGTACATGTTTYAGGGCTGGATGCATTCCCTAGGTGACCCTGCCTTGGCAGRGGGGTTGSACTAGACAATCTCCAAGGGTACTTCACAACCCTAACTATTCTGTGGTTCAAGGACTAGGAACTGGTTTGGAATATTTTGATTGTCTTTGGAGGCGTGCGACAAGGGTATTTTTGCTGATGGTRAGGGCCCCTGATGAGGAGCTTTGTAAGGGAATGGAACCCAAAGCCTGCAGATAAGCAAGGGAGGATGTTGTAATGAAAGATTTGAAGTCCCCCTGGTAAAACAGGGTAACCGTAGGCCCAACTCAAAGCTACTACATAAATTTCCTCATTTCACTTGAAAATGTATTAAAAGGTTTAAAATCATACACCATTTTAGCAGTCATTTCATCTGAAACAAGTAACAGAGCTATAGATAGATCACTTCCTTGTCAGAAGTTTTTACCTCATTTACTGCACACATCCGGGCAATAGACCCAATGTTATTGGTGATGGTGACCAATATGGCTCTTGCAAGATCTTCCTTACTCACAGACTCCCTCTTATCTTTGTAGATCATATTCCCAAAACTAGAACAGGAAAAATGGCCATTAGTTACAAAGTGAGTCATGTGCATTTGAAGTCATTTCRGAATACATTTTTTTTACGTTATAACGGAACCTAAGTCTCATGTTTGCTCTTTGAGGAACTCCTTTTTAAAGTCTGTATTAAATAAGCAATTTGACACTACCTCTTGTATTTGTTCCTTCACAGAAAACAGTCAMTTGTGATACAGTAACAGCCCCCAACAAAATATTTTTGTTCAGATTGTTGACTTCCATTAAGAACCACCTGTAGTAAAATGGTCTTATTCTTCAGACAGGACTACTCTGCAAATCTAGTYCCTGTAAATTAAGTCACTGCCTAAGTCTGACTGGTGAATCCTCCACTTCTCATGCTTGCTTCGTCACAARTATGTATCCCTTCTTCTATTCTCAAAGAAGTAGAAAACCAGAGATGAATTGAATGCTTTTAGTCACACAACCCTCWGAAACAAAATAAAACAGCTGACAGAATGAAATTGAGATTGCAAAATGAACAGACTAGAAGGGCACTTCCCTTACTACGCACAGCACAAAAGGAAAGACAAGAATCTGTTGCTATGTGTGATATTTTACCACCAAGGACTTTGTGCTAGATTTCAGTCAGTTTGGAGAGCAAAAATCCTAATTATTCTAAAACTCGAACAGCCATTAAAGCTCTTAAGGATCTTAAAAAGTAAATGTGAACAGAAAGTACTAACATAAAGCAAGTTAAAATGTATTGACTAAAGCATAAAGTTCACAAATCTTAAAACCTCTCAGCACATGGTCTCTCAAGAGGCTAAGACTCAGGTGGCTGGAGAGAGAGAACAATTAAGTTGCCATGAATTRTGACTCACTACTGACTAACAGCAAAGATTTAATGAACACTCTTATGTACATATTAGTTTCACTTGCAGAGTTTGTTTTTCTTATCTTTCTTAAGGGTAGCAAAGCTGTAACATCATCAATAATATTTCTCAATGGAAATAAGTGCAGCCGTAACAAATGTCCTCTGTCATTGACAATAAAAGTCATCCTCACGGTGCAAAGTGTTTGTGTTCAACAGCCCTCGTAAGTGGGAAAAGTAGTTAAAACATGCTAGATGTCTGCAATGACAACTGTGTTTCCAAAAAAATTAGGAACTGCTTCACTGTAAGAGCAACACAGAAGCTATTTTGCACTCACCCTCCCTCTGGACAATGGCTCTACTAAAAGATTCTAGGAAATCAAAAATAAATTGGTGCTTTTTTCCCAATATTGAACTGTTTTTTACTGAGACAAAGTTAATTTTCTTCCTAGCAGATGTGCTAGTTTTAGCTGGGATAGTTAATTCTCTTCATCACAGCTACTATGGGGCTGTGGTTTGGATTTGTGCTGGAAGCTGTTGATAACACAGGGATATTTTTGTTATTGCTGAGCAGGGCTTGCACACAGTCAAGGCCTTTTCTGCTCCTCTCCCCACCCCACCAGTGAGCACAATGGGAGTGGCATAAGGAGTTGAGAGGAGACCATTCTGYTCTATTCCATTTCTGTCCGATTAACCCATCTTTATCTCAACCCACAAATCTTAATTATTTCCTCCCAATTCTCTCCCCCATCTCAGTGGARGGAGTGACTGAGTGGCTATGTGGTGTTTAAGTGCCTGCTGGGTTACACCACACCACCTCTGMACTTCATTCCTGCTGCTCCTGCAATCACCTCACGTTCCCCCTGACTCACACAAAGCTGMGCATGAAATGCCACAGGAGGTTTCTTCATTATCTAGCTAGCAGGCACCTGCACTTGCAYGTGGCTTTAAACCTCCAGGAAAGCTGAGGACACATACTTTTAGGATAAAAATGTAACTTAACTACAATAAAGCCTTGTAAAAAAAAAGCAGTTCTCTCTGTATGAATAGTTTAAGTCTTGTTTTTGAAGTTCACCAAACCAACAGTAGAACCCACAGAGACTCCTGCTTACCTGGATGCCACAGCCCATCCTGGTAAGCCAAATCTTTCATAGTCTCCTCCGTAAATATCCCGAACCAGCTTGTCAGCATGTGTGCTGTCTCCTTTGGATGCCATTTCCAGAGCTTCTTCAAAACTTTCACAGCCTGTCAACAAACTGCACAGCCCAAGAAAGGTCCCTCCACCTAGACTAAGGACAAAGAAAACAGGTGCTTTTAAACAGAATTTCTTCACATGAAAGACCCTTATATCACTACCCCATAGAGTAACAACCCCAAGTTAGGTTTTCTAATTACCTTGTTCCAGTTACTCTTTTATAGTTGTCTTTGGAATGGACTGATAAAATACTGACTCCTGAACCAATGTTAACGACCAGCAATGGGTATGGATCATCCAGGTTAAAAGGCATCTTTTGGCATCTCTCAGGATCTGAGGCATTTTCAAAATAGTAGCACTCTGCCTGGCCATTGAAGCTGACAGAGTCTATGTACAATAAGCCTTTGACAAGGCAGTCAAGCTCATCCAGTTTGTGCAGCTGGAGGTTTCCAATCTGTGTTAAGAAAGAAAAAAAGACTGTGGCAACATGCTCTAACATTGCACAAATGTGCTACAAATTTATGACCCTATATGTACTGCCTGACTTTAAGTAGCTATCTCAGGTGATTAATTCAGGAATTKCAATGCCCCTATAAAGCCAACAAAGAATTCAGAGCTAAACTCTAAACACATAAACTAGCAAGTKAATCTGAGTATAAATCTAGATCTCAGACGTGAATCAAGAAGAGAGATGCAGTATAAATATCTGCTTTGGTAATCTCCAAGGTAACTTTTGAGATACTAAGACATTACTCCATTGAAAAATTAACAACATTTTCATCAATTTAAATCAATAAAAAGGTTATCAAATACCCTAGAGGCTCCAGTGAGTATCATCTTGGCGGAACTCACACATATGCAAAACTTTTCAAGGTTTGTGGGCTTCCTCCCCCATCTTACAAGTCAAAACACTCATTTCTAAGATATAAGCATATAAAAAGCTCAATGGCATCATACTAACTATCCCTGCAATTTCATTAGCACTCCAAGGATCACAGGAAAACCGCAGGTCCGAAATTCTGCAGGGCTTGAGGCTCACTAGAGTTCTTCCATAGTTCTGCACAGGATATTTAAGCTGTCATTCTCTCATAAAGCTGAAAGACCATTTAGCAGGTACTGTGGATTCCAGGAATGCTATAATTTCACACCATACTTAACATAATTCATAATGAAAATMCTGATTATTTTAACCCACCACCAGCAATGCTTTAATGAAATACAGATTATTTTAACCCATCACCAGCAATGCTTTCAATGGCATCAGCTTCAGGCAGAGGCAAGCCAGGCTACCTACTGTGCGAAAGTCTTCCTCAAACTTGTACGCGCCACCGCCGGTGGCACAGAGCACCGTGTGTAGTGTTGAGAAGTTTTTATTTCTTCCCATTTGGATGAAGGTAGGCAAATCATGAGTTGGGAACCGAATAAAGTGCAAGTTTCCTCTTCGAGCAAAGATTGTTAAGTCTTTCAGCTCCAGATGGACRTCCCGAATGCCAGTGGATCCGTAGGCTACATTGGAAGTCAGGTATTTGCGGATGCTCTTCARGCTTTCAACTTCCTCCTGCTCCTCCTCTGCAGTGATGTCAATAGGTTCAAAATAGGCAAGTTTGACCAACGTTCCCCCAATGTCCATACCAAACCATGGGAAAGCTGTGAAGATACCARAATTATCCATTAGGTTTGTTAAAAAGCAAATGCCACACATGAAGCTTAAGACTGAAGCAGTGCTGTACTCTTCAACAAGACAGACAACAACAACAAACCTCCCAGGAAAAAAGAATTAGCATTCATTTCAGTTACRTGACCTTAAATATCTCTCTGGCCACAGGTAAAAATGGAAAACTGACCAACTGTACACATTCAAATGCTGTGAGGTGCTCAGAAAGCTGAACTACCAACKCCCCAAACCATACCATATCTTTCAGACCAACTCAAACAAAATTCAACCACTTTTTTTGTATTGAGAACAAAGGATTAAAATAACCTTCACTTCTAAAATAACAGCTCTGACGTAGCTCAGCACAAAGACTGCAACAGACACTTAAGAAAGCAGGTTACACATTACAGCTGACARCAGGGGCAGGACAGGTATTCCTGCTCTAACAGTCCCTCACATAACATGGCTGTTGAGAGGAAAGCTTTAATTTGTTTGTATGAAAATTTTAAAAACTGACACAGTTAAGATGCCCAATTTACATCCCTTGAAGATAAAGGGACAACAAAATGCCCTATTAAGAAGTGCAAGCAAAAGAGAAAAATAGTATTACTGAATATAGGTTCCATTTTTATGGTTTTTTCTTTGTTTTTGGTACCTTAGCTAGGAAGGGGGAATTTCTGTACTATAAAACAACAACACTAAAGCACAAGTGTTGTCCCTTATGTGGGATTATTGCAGTTCCTAAGAGGGATTTTAAGGTCTATGATACGCAGGACCATATTTTGAATATGTCTGTATTAATAAATCTTCCTAACCCTGTGCAGCAAAACATACTCAGAAATGCTACAGCAAAGACAACATCTTCAACAGAGAGCTTTCCCATTGCCATTTCCTAAAAACAGTACTTTAAATTTAATTTTTAAGTTTAGGAAAGAGCATGGATACCCAGCTGGAAAGATCATAGTTTTATTCGTAACTAACTCTGTAACTTGCTTGGTTTTGCTTCCTATTTTGTTTTTCTTTTCAGCATTCCAATTTATTTCTTCAGATGTAATTCGTATCTTACAGAAGCATGAAACTCAGGTACAAAACCTCCTCATCTCCKCATGAGTAAGATGCAATTACACTGTATTTATATTACTAGTGGGATCCATCCTTGAGAAGAATGACCTACCTATAAATTTTAATGTATTTAGGCAYGGCTGTGTGTCAGTTCATTTATGAGTGCTAAACTTAGGAAGGAAAGAAATATCAAAGGTGCYTCAACTTTCAGAAATGGGTGTCAAGAGAATATTGTCAGATATTAGCAAAAAAATTTTTGTTAGTTACCTTACTCATCTTGAAGAACTGAATTTAAATATAAAGGTAAATTCTATGACAAAATCGAACTCAAAGTGAAAATGAAGTTCCATAAAGCTGGTATCTTTTTTATAAAGCTGAGGACTAAGCATAAAGACACACATGAATTGACTTGGCAACTATTTGGTTGACTTCTTCACCCTGTGACTCTGAAYATAAAAATATCTGTCATCCTACTGTTTGACCACAATTAGCTGATGATTTATTATGTGACCTCACCAAGTTTCAACCTCTTGCCATGAACAATGTCACAAGAACAAAACTGAAGAGGGGAAGTTGACTCACTCAGCAGACCAGAACATGTCTGTAGGAATCAATCCAATCCCTGCAGACTTGAACTAGGAAACACTAACCCAAGTACTACCTGTTCCTGTTCAATRGGCCTAGTGAATAACTAGGATCTTGTCCTCCAAAACAGGAATGAGGGGAAAACAGCTGAAAGCTCATGTCATGAGTTTAAGGATGGTTTGGTGCAAGTCATGCCTGTTTGTCAGAAGATCCACTGCATCCCATGTTAAATGATTCGAAAAGCTTTTGCAAATACAGCATTAGTCATGCCTCTGTAAATCTTAAGGTTTATGGATCTTGTACATTAACTAAAAAACCAAGAACAGTTGAACTGTAAGTTCATTTCATAATTTAAATGAGAACACACTTTATGCTGAAAAATGGGATCATGCTGTACAAGATCAGTCTTCTGGGTTAACTGAGTGATCTTAACAGCCATTTACAGATTTTGAAACTGAAGAAAAAGGTCAGTTTTCAACTCTSTGACAAACCCCAGGAAGCTTTATATTTTTCTATTGAAAATTTGTCAAAATTTGGCTGGCAAGTAGATTACTCAAGTTTCATTTGCAAGGTGGAGGAGTTCTGACAAGCAACTGGGCCCACATACAGCAAGAAGGTGTTACACAAGGATTCTTGTGCATGCAAGACACTCTTAATTGATTTATATTGATTTTATTACAGGTGCAGCCAGGAAAATGACAGCCATTTTGTTTTCCAAGCACGGAAGGGGATACACATACACACATATATGGAAAGGGCACAATCAGCTGGGACTGCAAGGATGCAACATTTATCCATGCTTCAGCTGTCTTTAGATAAYAGAAATGCACTAATTCTACTGAATTTGAATGTAACTGTACATGCACACAATGTGGAATCCTCAAAAACCCTCCTCTTACTGCTGCAGGTTTGCCTAGGCTCAGGATCCATCCTATCTGGATGCAGGGCTATAGAAATGACTCTATAAAAGGTATTTTCATACTTGTATTTGTGTGTCATGCTTCTCTGAGAAATTTCAGAGCAGAATGCCAACAKCACGATCTTTTGAAATAATATCCCCAGACATCAGCTTAATCCTTTCAGCAGTCACAGTTACAGAAATATGCCTGGATGAGACCAGTACTAATTACACAACCTTCTTTCCAAGCTCACAGGTCTGCAGATAGCAGGTTTGATGACTTGCACAACTGCAATTATCCTTCCACAACTTCAATCCAGAAGGAGAATCAATTCCCCTGCACTAAAACTGGCCTTTTCTCCACCCCTCTATAGTGATTAGATCATTAAAAGATTTTTTTCAGCTCTTCCTCATTATTGTTATTCTCAGGAAGATTCCAAAAAAAGCAATGCACAGCTCAGAAATATTCCTTGCTGAGAATTAACAGCTAYTCACAGAACAAACCCAAGGCCCAACTTTTCAAAGTTCAGCTCTTCTCTGCAGTGGTCAGCAACAATTTGAAAAAAGGAAAAATCCAGCTTTTTATTTAACAAGCCAAAACTACATAAAGCTCTTTCAAACTACAAACTACATAAAGTTTGCATAAACTACATAAAGGTCTTTCAAAAATACACATTCTGCTTTTAGGAAGTCAAGCCAGGCTCTATTTTAAGAATACACAAAATACAGATCTTTACTATCTACGAAGAGATAGACACGTAAAGTAGAACTTGGAAATCAAAACCTGTATGGTGCTTAATGTGATACTTTACAGCAAATTTAACTATCTCCAGGACACAAGAGGAGTACCATAATATACAACATCCTTGATTACAAACACAGCTTTTCTTGCACTGCCCAGCTCTGCCAGGAGCCACTGTGGTTCCTACCTAGGCAAAGCAACCAGGATCCTTTGCAATAAAGCAACAGACTGCTCCATAAATGCTGTGAAGACAGCTTTRAGGGACAACCTGCTCATAATTTTCTAAAAAAGTCATCTTGAAAAGGATTCCTTGAAAAGGATTCCCTAGAACTGCTTCCTGCAATTAGAAAAGCACAAGGCAAGAGTGCTGTGGTCACATAATGATGCAGTAGTTCTGCTGAGTAAGAAAATCCATGCTGGTGGCTGTTGCTTGTTATTTAAACCTTAATAATCTTTAGAGATACACAGGGAAGCGTCATTTTCTCTTGTGTCTGCACTTCTCAAGTTCATGCTGTACACAGTCACTGGCAGCAATCTTAAGGTTACTTGTATCTTATCATATAAGGTCTTTATATGCCAAAGGAAATAATTACAGTACATGTCTTTTTGTGCCAATGCAAGCACAAAGGTTGAAGTGTTTTCTTTTTCCATGGGTTCTGTGGGGGACCTTCGAAGCTTTCCACCCAGACCACATACTAGTATTCTGATTTTGTACACCCATCCTGGATCCAAAGCTGCAGGAAGTACATGCTCAAAGACTTAACTACTCCCCCTTAGTCAGTCAAGCCTAAGATTCTTCAGTTTAATGCTCTATTTGTATTTAGCTTTTAAAAACTGAGACACAGATTCCTGTCAACCTCTTCCTATGAATGTAATGACACATTTGAAACACAAACACCTTTGAAATACTTTCTTCTCACTGTCACATAAAGTAACACTCTGGGTCAACCCTGTATAAATTAACAAGAACCAACCTTCAAAGAWGAGTAGCTAATTCCTAATTCAAGCTGGGAGCTTTGCAACATGGGGAAAAAAAAATTCACAGCTGTCAGTGACAGCAGAGAACAGCTACCACATTTTGTGTCATCTTTGTAAGAAACCTKATGTATTATTAAGACATAAGACTGCTGCACTCCAAGTACAAACGTGGTTTGGGGAACAACTGCCAGAGGATGCCTAAGTTCATGATCCTATACAGTCTTAAAATACAAGAAAGGAAAATKATCACGAAATCCACAAAAGCTTAAACTTACTTCTGACAGCACTGCAACAGTTCTTTATGAAATTATGCAGCATTGTCAGTTCCTGATGCCCAAAACTTATCTAATCTAATTCAGCTCCATATTTAGCCTTTGATAACAAAACTAACCTTGATCCCATTCTTATCTGAATACGGACAAGGCAAACAACTACTTAAGTTATACTGAATTATTACAGTTACTGTTTATAAACACATAAACTAAATGTATCTTGCAGTTTCTCCAACTGCATTTTCTTTTATGCATCCATTCTTACTTCCAGCCCTTCCYGAAAACATCAGCATGCAGCAAAGTAAAACCTGATGGTGAACTCGAATAGCTCAATCAGCAAGGGGGCTAAGGCAGCTAATGTGAGCAWTGGGACAAGTTAAGAGAAAACACATCAAAGCTTGCTGGACTGCTAAATTAAATGGAATTAACCACAGGGTTGGGCAGCAATATGCCTTTGCTGTGCCCATGAACACCAATCTACAYGGCCTATGAGCCTCCACAGAGCAAAACTGCGCTTAAGTGTTCTTAGTCCTTGAGACACTGGAGACTTTCTCTCCTTAAAAAGTCTCRTAACAGGTTTTTGGTTCAAGTGTCCCAAGTCCAACTCAAAATACTTTGGGCTGGACAGAATTAACATGCGAATCAAATGYATCTGACACGCCCTAGCACATCCTCCCATTCTCCTTGTGGGAAAACTCCATCACGCTCTGCAAACTCCCACTCAGCCACCTCTAATCACGCTCCAGAACAGYCCTGTTCACAGTGGGAGGACAGGTGGTAATGGGCAATTACTGTAACTGCTCTTCATGGGCTTCAGCACTTCTACAAGTGGGTACCATGTAAAGCTTAATACAAGACAAAATATCACTGCTTTCAGCTTCTCCCTTCTTGCTCATTCTGATAATTTTGTTGACATTTCAGCAGTGGTTTCTTTGGGGATAGGTGTTATTACAGTGAGATGCAGAAGCACAATTTAGCACTTAAAGATACAYAGTGTATAACACTTACAGTGTACACTGTTCCTGGCAGTATTAATCCATTATTAGAAATATATTTTTCAACTCCAGTGAAGTGACAGCCTATAACATCTGCCATGGGCTAATAATMAGCTTTCAAGGACTAATAAGAAAATGATGCGATACCAAAAACTGTGCAGCAAATTCCACGGGGGGGAAAAAAAAATCAATTTATTTACAATCTAGATRGAGTTTTTATCAGTTTTATGACACTAATGCTCCACGTGTCCACAATGATTACATGTCCATAGATCCACACTGGAGAAAGTAAACTTGAGATTTTCATCTTTCCTTTATACTGATGCAGGATTTTGCAAATCTATGCAATGTACATTCATACATTAGCATGTCTCAATTTGCCTCAAGGGAAACACAGGCATTAGTTCTCAAACTATTTGAAATAAACAATCAAAGGGAACGAACTGCAAAAAATAACACAGCAGTGTTATCAAAAGTTAGTAGTTTTTGCCTTTCCTTCAGCACTCAGTTCCAGTCCAGAGCCAAGAGGAAGGGCTSCAGCTCCCGTGGAGAGTACAGCGTGCTGGCACAGTGCTCTGGCCTTCCCCCGCCAACATGCACAGCTCTCTCGAAATGAGTTCCTGCTCCCTTCCCTTTGGGCAGATCCCACACAACAGCAGTTCTACAAGACTCTCTGCTCTCACATTTATCATCTCAACCCACAAATAACCTTTGGAAATTTCCTTGAAAATTGCCAGCCATTTTTCCCCATAGGCATTTCCTCAGAAGAGCAATCATGCAACTGCTGCTTGGAAGGTTCCTCTGGAGGTCATCTGGTCTGACCTCTCAGTCACACCAGCAGGAAAACAGCCAAYACTAGATGAGGTCAGTTATGGCTTTGTCCAGTCAACACTTGAAAGCCTCAATAGTTTTGCAAGAATCCTCCAAGAACAGAGATTCCACAATTGCAACACTGCTACACTTAGTGCAAGGTTTTCTTGACTTGAGTTTGTTAATCCATTTTAAAATCCCTGACTCCTCCCATCACCAGCAGCTGAGATCTAAATGGCCCTTTACGAGCCTCTTTCCAAAGCCAGTCTCAGAAGCTGTGTTCCATAAATTCTGCTGCATTTCTCACAGTTTCCACTCCATCAAATCAGCGACAGCACTAGTCAGGTGAAGATCTGGAAGGGGGGACCATGCAAGCATGTGYAGGCAGTGTATCCACATCAGGAACGCTGAACTGGTTTGGTGTCCATTTTACCCTCACCTGTCTCATGACTGACATGACAAYCACTTCAATCAGGCTTTCCTTCCTGATGCTAAACAGCACTGATAAAAGTACAGGCAGACTAGAGCAATCTTCTCAATTCTACRTTGCAGGTTCTGAAGTAACAATTACCTATTTTTCCCCAGAATCACATCTGGCTCCATCACAGATGATTAGGTACTCACTTGCTCTAAGGAATGTACACTCAGCAATTGTGCTGAAAAGTGCCTACAAGTGTCTTAGCCAAATAATTTGTGAACCATCTAAAAGTGGTAGTGTGAGCCCAATGGAGTTTCATGTCAGTGTRAGCATTTAAGCCAAACTGACAGCAGTATTTGGGCACCAGAGACCCTGAACATCAATTTCCATCTTCAGTGCTTCTGTGGATCTGCTCCTTTTYAAACATTTAGCTGCTCTCTCAGTGTGACTAACCAGGAGCACAAGTCTGCAGATTGAGTCTAAAGTTCACTGTCTAAGAAACTCACTGCTATTATCTTTTAAAAAGCCACCAGCTCCTAAGTATGTTCAAAAGTCAAGAAGAACAACAAACAACGTAGTTTGACACTGTACGCCTCCCCTCCTGCTTATGCAGTTCCAACTGTTTCTAATTCCCACCATGAAACCAACATCAAAGTTCAAATTCAAGAACTGGAAGAGTGCAACTACAACTGCACATTTGAGCAGTTAAGACTTCTTAATAACATTTGCACTGTTATTTAGCCATGAAGCTTAAATTCACCACTAYGGAAAACAAGACTTTGAGGTCCAGCAGAGACAGTCCTGAAATTAGCAGGTTTCTGCAGCAGGAGCAGCCATAGTCTCACCATTTCAATTATCAAACCGCTATAATATTTTGCRGCCAGCTTCTGCTGTTTTGATAACATTTCTTAATATTACACCAGGGGAAAAGAATGCTGTCTGAACTCTACTCTTCATAAACATCATTACAGTCAATTCAGCAATTTCCACACACTGGCACTAACAAGAGGTCATGGTTAATTGTCTCCTAAGAGGTGCATATTTAGGGTTTCCCCACCAAACCACAAGAAACAAGGTACTTTCAAAGTCTTTATAGCTATTTCTAGAGCTATGTTAATACTTCCTGTGTTAAATGGGTTCGGTGATTTTCTTCTTTTGTGGACTGCTCAAGCAATACATTTAAAATATCAACTTTCAAGATCCTCTCTTAGTTGTATGCTGTTCATTAGCCAGGCATGCCATATGAACAACACTAGGCCTGGAAATTTGGTACTAGCCATCTTTTCTATACAGTAACTCTTCCTGAAAGTAAGTATTTAAATATGATGAGAAAGAAAAAGGTGTTAAACTCAGTGGAGCAATACCTGCATCCCTTTCAGCTAAGGCACACCTGTATGAGCTTGACAGGTGTGTTGACTTGCACAGCTGCACGTCTGTTACACTGAGAGCACGTCACTTGCATGTAGATTAACCGTACTCAACACAAATCTCTTTCCCAAGAAGCAGCTGCAATCCTAAGGATATTCTGTTTATATTYACCTGAGTCTGAACCATGTTTGCACCCTCCAAAACAAACACGACACTCCAAAATAACACTCAGTAAGAAATATTATCAGAGCTGTGATTATTAAAGGGGAACATTCAGCGTATTTTAGTGAAAGACTTACATCCAAATATTAGTAAAYATTCTAAAAAGAATTAGAAGTTGATTAGTCCTCAAAAGGCAAAACTGTAGCAACTGCAGCCACCTGCGCAGGTGTTCAGCACACTGGTTAAGTGCCATCTTCATCAAACACAGCACCCATCCCCAAGAAACTGATTATATCATTTTCTATTCTAGTCCCTCCGACGCCAGCACTGACGATCACCTGAACCCCGACACCTCCCTCAGAGGGACGCACAGGAGCGAGACGCGTCTCTGCGGGCATCTCCCGGATCCATGGATGGGCACCGCCCGCCGCGCAGCCCCGCGCCCCCCGCGCCGCCTCCCCCGGCCCGGCCTTACACGGCTTCTTGGCATCCTTGATCTTCATGGCGCTGCGGCGGCGGCCCGGCTCGCTGCCGGCCGGGGCGGGTCTCCTGCCGCTCGCCTGATGGGGCGGGCAGCGGCGGCGGCGGCTCCGCGGGGCCGGGCCTCGCTCTCCTGATGCTCCTCGCCCGCCGGGCGCCCGCCTCCCGGGGAGCGGCGCTGGCCGCGCCCGCCGCTACGCCCGCGGCCCGGGCAGGGGCAGCTCCAGCGGCGGCATCGGCGCTCGGGCTGGGGCGGGGAGACGGGGCGGGGCGGCCACGCTCCG